CAATAAACGTTACACATATTTTTAACAAAAAAAAAAAAAATCACTTGTTTGTGAAGAGATTAATACAGGTCACTGTATAATTGAGTTGTATTAATGTACTTTTTGATGAGTACATTAATACAACTCACGTATAATTTTTTTTTTTTGTAAATCTGTTTTTATTAGATAGAGTAATGGTAGTACAGCTTATTCGGTTCAGTGTTCAGCAGATTGAGGTCACGTACGACCTGTGTGTATCTGCTGCAATATGTTCAAATAAGGCACAAGCATAACATTCGTTCCTGAGAACAACTCCGTTGCCACTTAACATTATGGCAATCTAGACAACCAACGTTCAGATTATATTGCTTAACTAGTACATAGTTCCTGTCGTTACCCCTCAGGGTGCATTTATATTACGTGATCGGTCAGCCACGAGCTCTCCCTAGCTCTTTTGTGGGTGTTCGTAGTGGGTGTGGAAACCTATGAAGGTTGACGTCGTATGCAGTATGTTTTAGGTAGCTATGCGTCGTGTCAGATACCTATGGACTTGCTAAACTTATGTTTTGGTAAAGTGTCTGTGGTAGGTGGTGGGGAATCACGGTTACCCTATCCGTGCTACCTTGTCTGTCCTTGTGCCATGCGTCTGTTTGTGGGTCTACCTCTTCTAACTGTATATCCGTGTTTTGTAGCTCTAATGGTAGTGTGTCTTGTTTGTTTTTTCCTCGGGGTATGTGACAATGGCGTGTCTACGTTAAGTTGGTTGTGCGCGTGTGTATATGGGAAGGAAAGTGGGTGGATTGTAGTCACGAGAGTCGTGATAGAGAAAAGAAAAGAAAAAAAAAAAGGGAAAGGAAAAGATTAAGGGTAGAGTATTTAGCTATGAGAGGAGATAAGGGCCTCGCCCCGAAGGCCCGGGTCCCCCCCCGCAAGCCTCTCTCGATTCATCCTATCGAATCCTGGATATAAATGTAAACCACGGGCGCCACAGTTCTGCATGTTTATCTCCCCTACTCAGTAGAGATGCTTGCATCGCCTCCGCCCCCTGAATGCCCTCCACCCTACGGATCCACTCCTCCACGCTGGGGGTCTCTGTCTTTTTCCAATATATAGGGATCAGAGCCCTGGCAGCGTTGAGTAAATGGCGTAATATCGACTTTTTATACCTTGGTATCGGCAGTTGTGATATATGCAGTAGTGCCAAGGCTAACTCACGTATAATTGTGCAGTTCTGTGGTGGGAGTACAGATGCCATGTTTTGGGAAACAGGGTTTCGAACCAGACAATGGAACTCCATGCTCGAGTCTTTAGGGGTCAGTGACAGCTCAATTCTGAATCCATTTCCATAGCTCTCTTGCTCCTGGTTCCCGTATTTCCATACAAAGCTCAGCATTGACGCGCTTGACATCACAAAACAATATAGCGTGATATTGCACCGGTCAGTGTTGACATTTTCCAGTGTAATATTTATTTTTGGGGAAGGAACTGGCTCGGTCAGAAATCAAATATTTCACTAGAAATGGCAAATTGACTATAATGTCATCTGAATAGACTTTTTGAGGTTGCACATAACACAAATTAAAACAAGACCTATAACCAAAAAGGAAATGAAAATAAAAACCTTAAAAAAACTTAATATTAGACTAGTTTGCTATTTTTGACTGCGCTCCAGGCCTGTGTCTTTAGGTCTGTCGACCCTGCTTCCTGTGACATTGGTTCTCGCCTTCAATTGCTATTTCCTATCTATAAATATATACATTTTCTTTAAAGTCTCAGATGTTTCATTAAACAACAAACTCTTACTTACCGTACACAGTGAAATTAAACAAACTAGTTTCAGTAGTCCTATCTTGAAGAGTAACTAACAATTCAAATATCCCGCTATCCTCCAACATCACAGACTTTATTTCCAATGTCATACCATCGTTATATAATTCAAAGCGCTCCCTGGGGTCATTCCACTTATCACAATGATGAGTCTTATCATTCCTAAATTCACAGATTCTCTTTTTCTTTCTTCCACTTGGTGTAAAATACCAGAAGGAGTCTCTTACAGGTTGAGTCACATTCAAATCGCTTGTCAAATTAATGGCTTGACTTAGAAGTCCGTTCAAATGGAGAGGGGTGCCTTGATCGCCTGGAATAAAAACATTTAATTATTCTTTACATTTTCAACCCGGTGTTAATGAATTACTCATAAAAATTCTTCAAAAAGCAAAACAATATCAGAAACACTTTAAATGTCTACATTAAAGGATGTGTTTTTCTTAACATTATTTAAGGTTCCTGTTTTTTAGCTGACATGAACTTCCTCCGTGCACAATGAATATTCATCATCAGCCGAGTCAAACAATCATCTCCTCTTTTGCTCGTGGTGGAGCACTGGAAATGTATTGTGAAGTTTTCAGACTTCCAATAATTGGTGGCAGTCATTTTCTAAAGCCTCTAATAGAGTATTCTGTAACTAACACAGTCAGCGATGCTGTTGAGATTGTACATGGTGTTGTGAATATAGCCAATGGAGCAGTGAAACTAAGTGGAATGGGCGCTGACATAGCTAGGAAGGATAAGGTATATTTAGGGATTATTCTAGCTTTCAGTGAACGAATAATCTGAATTTTATTAAAGACAGGAGGCGAATATTTGCTTATCTTTCTTTACTGTAACTCCCAGCAGCAAAGAAATGGTTAACAATGTTGTATGGAAAAATCAACCAATCATAACATATCTCAACTACAATATAGTGTCATCAGACTCCTCCCACTTCCTCTTTCTTGATGTTGCCTGTCAGTAGCAAAGTCAACCATGTAAACTTTAACTGGAACAGTTCCCGAGGCTGTAACTCGAGATGAAGTCAACCATGTAAACGGAAAGTGGATCGAACAAACTTGAGATCTTCACACTAAAAGAGAAGAAGAGAGACTTCGTGAAAGTAAGGTTTCTCGGACAAGAGAAAAATATATAGTTATACCCCCTATTAACAATTATAGTTCAGACGAATTGGCAGAGTTAGAAAAATAAAAAAAGGATCTATCAGTACCCTGTGAGATAGATGTATAACCACAAAATGAGCAAATCGTATATTGCAAATTTGGATGTAAGAACGGTATCATACATTAAGCCTTGGCTATGAGACTTACCTCAAGGGTGGGTTCCGGAGTGAACGAAGGGAGGGAAAATATTTGCCTCCTGTGTTTAATAAAATTCAGATTATTCGTTCACTGAAAGCTAGAATAATCCCTAATTTTATGGCAAGACAGGAGGCTTCATATTTGCTGTTTTAACGATTTTGAATAATAGAACAAGCCGCATGTGGTGTTGGTTTAAAATAAAAAATTTGAAAGGTAGATTCCCTTGACCAATCTGCGCAGGACAAAATATCCACCAGTGAACTGCCGGCACGAAAGGCAGAGGATGCGGCCGCTCCCCTAACGGAGTGGGCCCCGAATGATCTATCAATTCCCGCTTGGATAAGTAACCATCTTATCCAGCGAGCGATAGTGGGGGAGGAGACCGGTTTGTGAGGTCTGACGTAAGAGATGAAAAGGGGCCCGGTAGGAGAACGTAGGGCGGCAGTTGCCTCCGTTTAACAATGGGTACACAGAGCCACACAGAGGGCCGGCCTGTCGGGAAAGTACAGGTAAAAAACAGACGAGGAGTTCGTCTTAGTGCGCCTAGTAATTGTAAATCGGACACCTTCCGGTGCGAAGGAGACAGCATGTGAATCGAAAGCTTGAACGTCAGAAACTCTGTGGAAGGACACCAGGCACAGTAGCAGGGCTAGTTTTGCAGAGAGTTGTCGAAGGGATAAGGCCTCGTTAGGGGGCCAGGACTCTAACAGTGCGAAGACTCGAGATATATCCCAGAACTCAGAATATTTGGCAGAGGGTGGCCTCGTCAAACGAATGCCTCGTAAACGTCTGCACACAGAAGGATGTTTTCCAACTAAGGAGTTATCAATAGGGTCATGGCCCGCCGAAATGGTGGAACGAAAAATATTAATCGACCGGTATGATTTACCCTGTTTGAAAAGTGATGATAGAAAATTTAGAATGGATGAGAGAGATGCTGAGGTTGTGCGATGTAAATAGGAGGTTTTCAGCCGTTGCATTGCTCTGTAATGCAAGGGCCCTGGAAAAATTGCCTGAATTGATGCAGACAGGAGACCCAGAACGTGTGCTAGATTGCAGAGCCGAGGTCGCTGTGACCTGAGTAATATTTGAATCTCTCGTTTTATGTTTTTGATTTTGGGGTAGGGTAACTGTAAAGTTGCTTGAACTGAATCTATCTGAAAACCCAGAAACTGGACTATCTGAGAAGGTACCAGATCTGATTACTGGTAATTTATGACAAAACCCAGGTTTTGAAGGAGGGCAGAGGTCATGTGTGTGTGTTTGTGAAGTAATTGTTGGTCCTGGGTAGTGATTTCGCGAACCCGAAATTTTCGGTTCGCGAACGGCGAACGCGAACTTCCGCAAATGTTCGCGAACCGGCGAAACGCCCGAAACGCCATTGACTTCAATGGGCAGGCGAATTTTAAAACACACAGGGACTCTTTCTGGCCACAATAGTGATGGAAAAGTTGTTTCAAGGGGACTAACACCTGGACTGTGGCATGCCGGAGGGGGATCCATGGCAAAACTCCCATGGAAAATTACACAGTTGATGCAGAGTCTGGTTTTAATCCATAAAGGGCAGAAATCACCTAACATTCCTAAATCACAATGAATATGGATTGACACCTTGACATATGGATTGACACCTGTCCTCAGAGACCCTGATACACACTGACACAGAGCAGAATGAGGAGCCAAGTCCCCTACGCTGGGGTCACTTGGCAGATATGGTTGACACCTGTCCTAAGGATCCCTGATACACACTGACACAGATCAGAATAGGGACTGTTCCCCTACATGGGTCACTTGGCAGATATGGATTGACACCTGTCCTAGG